ATATGACAATCAATGACAGCTAGGAAATAAACTGTAGCGTTACAGAAACAGTTAAAAAGATTTCGCTATAGTTTCTGTGGATACCTATTTGAAATATCACAATATGAGGAATATGTGGAAAAATTACACAGCCAGTCGATCTTTTTAAACATTTCATTTTTAATCCCAAGGCTCTTCAACATTTATGTCGGCTTTCAGGGAATAATCTTTGCTTTGAGATCTGCTCATGCCACATCGAGATCTATTTCGATCTTCCTTTGACGAGTTTCAACCTCTGCAACACATAAGTCAGGACAAGTTCTGCGTAATTTACACGTTTTGATGGTTTTGCAGATGAACTTTAAAAAATAATAAATAAAAAAAAAAGGCAACATACCATATTAGACCAATAATTAGTTATTCCCAAGATCTTAGCGGCTGCTTTACGGAGTCGGATAGTATTTTTGCAAAGATTTGTAGTTCTTTAAGCTTATTGCATTGTTTACTTCCTGGTTCGGTAAAGGGGTCCTAAAAAGCCACGCCCACAGAAACATCAGTCTTTTCCAGCTGCCACCACCAGTTGATTTAGCCACCAGTTGATCTATAACACCGGTCGCAAGTTGTAATGCGAACACAACCGTTCCGTACCGTACTGTTCCGTTCCGTGCAGTGCGAAAGCGCTTGAAGTTACATACCGCACCTTTAATATGATTCATACTCCTTCCCTGAAGGGAAACTACCTTTCTCCTGCGGTTTTTGACAGCAGATCCAGCCGAGGAGGGTCGTTGTTGCAGCGGCCTGGATGGAGAATGCCCGGCGGGCGGAGTGTTTTGGGAGATCCTTCTGTCTAGAGAGCGTTGCCTCTTCTTGCTGCTCTTCTGCGCCTGAGACAGCGGGCTTGCCTGCTGTGATCTGAGCTGCTCCAGCGCGCGTAAAGCTGGTCTGCAGTCCGGGAGAGAAGACGTGGTTCTGTGGCCTTTGAGGACCGGAGACGACCCCAGCTTGCCGCGGTGAGAGGAATGAGTGAGGTGCATGTCTTTGACCCTGGAGACTGGGTCCCTGGCCGCGTCACTGCGGGGCCGCACTCTGGGCCCCCCCGCGTTATCCATGTATGAGCCATCTTCTTCTTCATCGGAGTCAGCTGGGAGGAACTTGACGGCGCGGTGGTGCAACCAGCAGCCCTCCGCGGAGCTCAGGCTGTGACTGCGGGGCCGGGGGGCCCACAGATCCTGGCCCCTTTGAGTGAGCTTGCGAGTTTCTTGAGGGGTGCTGAACATCAGCCAGTAGGGGGGGCAAGAGGGAACCTGAATCACCGGCTGCTGCCCAGTTAAAATCCATCTCTCCAGATTGAATCCATACTGCAGGAAGAAAACAAACCTCTAATTTAAAGTATAACATTTCTACATTTTGTCAAGTTATGCCCACTCAGAGATGGGTAGTAGGTAGTTACATTTACACACTTGAGGAACTTTTTGGGAAAAAAGTACTTTTTACTATATTTTCATTATAAAGTAACACTACTCTTTCTTGAGTAATATTTCTGGATACTCAATCCACTGAGAGTAACTAACTGAAATAATAGTAAATTTACTTTTAATCAAAAGATTTTGGTGAGGAATTTTGCCTTTTCCACAGTAATATTAATCAAAAATATAAGTGAAACTTAGCCAGCATTAAACTTATTGGGGGGGGGGGGGGGGGGGAGGGAAGAAAGCAACCTCAGTTTCCTGCATGATCTGATGGCATTGTGGTACAGAAATATCAGGTAAAGTCGACATCTGTATCTCAACACCTAACGGTCCCAAAGGGGTCTGAAAAGGAACGTCCTCCAGAATATTCATCATCACCAAAACACACCAACAAATCACCTGTGTGAGGAGAGTCACAAAGAGTTTGAATATTTCTGGTTACAGGCCCTTTTTTTAAATTTGGGCTTAAAATAATTTCTTACCTTTGCCAGGTGCTGTCTTGCAGGTCCGGAGCGGTCTGAGTCACACACAGGTGTCTGCGGTGATAAACCTCTTCATCACTAAGCCTCTGACATCATCAGTTTGTTTACCATCTCAGATGCTCAGTCGGTATAATCTGTCATGCAAGGATCTACCATAAATAACCACTTTTAATAATGCACATATGTAAAATCATAATTAAAGCTAAGTCCCTTTAAAAAACAAGATTGCAACCTATTTTCAACTTTAATTGTAATGTAAAAAAATCAATTTAATTGATTTAAGCAATTTTGCATATATTTAAAATTATATTGCGACTTTGGATGTCATTTTCATATGGATTTAAAGGGATTATGGAAACGCTGATGTCGGGAAACGGAGGCACAGCATGAAACTTTCCAGAGATTAGCTGGTTACATAAAGCCGACAGCCGCAGCGCAAGATCAGTTCAAGTGGAGATGTTCATATTAGGTTCCATCTCAGAGGTAAAAAAATGAATAAAACTTTCTACTCAGAGATAGATTTTATTTATATATTTTACACAATCACAATAAATTTAGGATTCACAAGCTTTTGGGGGGGAGGGAAAGTTTTCCTTGGATTTCTGTAACAGGCCTCTGAAATTAACCAGCAGAAAGAAAAAACAACTTGACTCAAAAGGGAACAGATCTAGTTTAATTTTAAAGGTAAAGAGCACAGCAGCATGGTGACGTCAGAGACCTTCAGGGCGGCATCTTGACTGAACAAGTGCACCGAGGTACCATCTAGCATCAGGAAGTGAGATCACAGGAAGTGGTTCTGACGGAGGTGTACACAAAGAAAGGAAAATACCTGCAGCTCTGCAGAGGGAACCTTGTCAAGAAAATTAAAACCAAAACCTACGTGGGTATGATTTACTTTAATGTTCCTCGATAAAGACCAGAAAGCAGAGTGGGATGTTTCACCATTTCAGTCTGCTCTGTGAACCCAGGTGAGCAGACAGCTGCAGGATGGGAGCGTCTTTAATGTGCTGGTGTGTTTCCACCTCATTGTGGTCTCCTAACTCTAGGTGATGTCTTACAAACCGCTTACAAACAATACGCGTGCAGCATAGCGTAACATTTACAACTCTTTCCACTTTGAGCACCATTATCACAATGGTGGAAAAAGAAGAAACATCAACATATTGATGCGTTTTTGAAATATCATGCCCCTCTTGATTTAAGGCATTTCTCTATCACGTCTACCCTCATTCAAGTTACAATGTGATCCCATAAATGCCATTCGCTTCCCTTCCTGTTACAGCCAATCAGCACAAAAAGAAGATACAAACTACCTACAAATATTTTTTTTATGAATAAAATTGTATTATCTTTATATAGATAAAATGTTAACAATCCCCAGAGATTGAAATATATCATAAAAGGTCCACGCTGAGTGCACCTCTAGAGATTTATTATCTGATGCAAAGAGATCAAAGGTTGTTACGCTCCCTTAACTTGTTCATCATGGAAACATCCTCAGGGTCCACGCTTTTTATTTGTCGGGTGCAGTAATAAAAACAGCTGGTACCAAACGAGGCATCCAGAAGGTTCATGGTAACCTAATGATTTCAGGTAAAATGAGAGACATGGTTCAGTTGTTAGCAGCGTCAGCCTGCCGGGGCCAGTTCTCCTCCTCGATGCCGGAGTCGTACTCCTCCTCTGCCGTATCCTTGGCGGGGGTTCTGAAATCCAAACAGGACATTCTGTCACCAAAACTCATTTCTCTGAGCGATAAACTGTCCCAAACGTCGCTGCGATAAATGATAATATTGTTCAAGTAGATGAATAAACTCATTTCAAATTGGAACTGGAAGACATTTTAAATATCCAGAAGAAAGAAGGAAAACAACAGATTAAATGGACACTAGTCTTTGTAAAGAAAATTCAAAAGGGGGATAAAGCTGAGACTAATGAAGCAGACTGAAGACTTCTGACATCCAATTATTAGCAGGGAGAGAAATTTCCAATTAGAAATTATCAAGCTTGTTTCAATTTATCATGCGATTAATTGATTTATTACCTTTAGCGACAGCCTAGTATCACTTAAAAGTTAAATATTAAACCCACTTAATTTTTTTGGTGTATTTTCAATGATTATTAAACGTTATAAAAACAGTATAAACTTATTAAAACATAATTTCCCCAGAAACATCACAATTATGATCCAATTTATTTTCCAGATATTCTTTTTTGTTACTCACTATGCAAACTGGGACACAACACTTCATAAATCTGATATATAGCAAAGCGCCTTGCAAGAAAACTTCTTACTTCTTCAATTTTAATGTATTTCATGCAACCAAGTGTAAAACACAGTTATGAAATCCATGAAAAAGGGTTAAAAATAAATATTTGAAAAGTATGACTCCTTTAAAAGTCGTAATTAGAAGGTGAGAGTCCACTAGTAGTAGGTGAAGGTCAGAGGTCAGTCAGAGCAGTGTTTTTCAACCTTTTTGAGCCAAGGTACACCGTTTTAATTG